CATAAAAGCTAGACACAACAACAGAAATGTCTGAAATCTTACAGGAAGACGAAAGCTGGATGGAGAGAGAGAGAAAGCTCCAGAAGCCCATGGGCTGTCTAACCTGCCCTATGCATTGTCTCAAACAAGGTGGAAAGTTGAGGACCAACGCATAAAGGTTGTCTTCTGACCTCCATATGCGTGCTGTGACCCATGAATACCCACACGCATAGACAATACACACATAGACCTACACATATCACACACACTTACACAGGTGGAGATTAAAGTGTAACAAGAGGGCCAAACCAATTGGATTTGACCAACAAAAGTATAACTGGAGAGCGGGAGGGGGCCGAGCATCCATGTGGTTTGGCTTCCCAGTATCGCGGAAAGCAGGACAATCCTCAGTTCATGGGCTTCTCAAGCTTAACTGTTCTTATCCCCTGAGGTCTTGTTAAAGTTCAGGCTTGGATTGGCTAGGTCTAGAGTTGGCGATAGGTTTCTGCATGATAGCCAGGGATGCTGATGCTGATGATGGAATCAATCAGCAAAGTCAGAGTTATTCCCAGCTCTGTTGACACCATGAGCTCAAGAAAGGTGAAAGCCCCCTTATTAGATTTTTCAGAAAACTGCCAGATGTCACTTGGCTTAGTACTCAAGTTGGGCTGAATCCCGGAGGTTAGAGCTTGCAAGCTAAAGCCATGTGTAAAGAACCGCATAGCTGTTCAGAATCCGTGTCGCCTTTAAAAACAAGCAAATAAATATCAAAACTAATTACTGGAATTAGGGAGGAAGAAGGAACAAACCCGAAAAGAGAACCTCTCATTGCTTAATCTGACTTAGCTAATGTGTGGGACCCTGAGTTCCATCCCCAGCACAACTAATAATAATGATAACAACCACGATGACAAATGTGGTAAGATTGTAAAAAGCCGGCTCAGACCTGCTCTGAGCAGGAGGGAAATCAATCCCAACTTAATTGCTTCTCTTTGCCTGTAGCTCTGTCAGGGCTTTGGTGCCTGCTGTGACCAGTTTCAGCTTCCTGACCAAGCATCTCCTGTGTCGGCCTGTGGCATCAGGTACCCGTTAGGTAAATGAGGGCAGAGCAGCAGCTGACAAGCAAAGAGATAAGCAGGGGGACAGTGTGGCAGCTAGCAGGAGACTGGTTAAGTGTAACCAGCAACTCTGATTGGAGGGAGAACACCTACCTGCTGGGGCAGCAGCCCAGGGGATGCAGGATGACAAGGACAGGGGCAGCCACAGAATGACTGGGAGCTTCTTACCTTGTTGCTCAAAGAACAAGAGTGACTAACCCAGTGGTACTCTGGCTACAGCAGGGAACCTTTGAAAGTGATTCAGTCTTCATAATGCCTTTATACAGCCATTTCTCCAAAATACTGGTAGCCAACCACCAGGAGGCCTCCACAACTCAAATCACATCCCCAGACTTGGGGAGCTATGTGTGGAATAGCTCTTTCCCTCCCTTTGGGCAAGTCCTGAAGAACAGAGCAAAACCCACTGGCTGCAACTGTAACCAGACCACAAAACTTCTTTGATTGCCAACTAAGAGACACTCATTTGGTGCTGGAACAGATAGGACAAGTCTTAGCTCCCATGGCACTTCCATTCCATGTGGGTCCCATACCAGGAAGCAGAGAGTCACAATGAGCAAAGTTACAGGTAACTGTGCATCATGACTGGGAAGAGCCCAAATGTCTGTAAGCAGGCGAACAGAATAGTACGTTGTGGCTCCTCCACACACTGAACTGTGGAAACACAGCAAAAGGGATGAACTTACCAGATGCCACACAGCAGAGCTCGGGATACTTACGTGGGGGTGAGGGTGGGGGTGAGGAGGAAGACAATAAATAAATAAATAAATAGGTGTATAAATAAATAAATAAGCAGCATCTGTCAGACCATCCCTCATTCAAATCCCTCTCCTAGGCCACCCCATCTCTAGGTTTATGTGTGGCATGTTATGGAAAGGGTTCTGAAAAGGTCCAGAGCTCAGGCCTTCCTATTCAGCAGAGGTCCCACTGAGTCTGGTTTTATGTTCTGGGGCAGGAGGTTCTGCAAATGACCAAGTTTTATAGAACTCAGAGACAAGGGAGCCAGTACATGGGAGAGGGCAAGGCAGGAAGTCAGGGTGATAAAGCCCAGTGCCAAATTAAATAGAGGCAAAAGGTGACAGTTCTGCCACAGAGTGAGGGTTTATTACAAACCAGAAGAGGCGAGGAGAAGCTTCTGGGCCCTAATGTGCAACAGAGAAGGGCTGCAGGCTTTGCTGAGATGTTATCAACTGTAAGCCATGAGGGGGAGAAAATTTGTCTGAGGTGGCTCATTACCAAGACACTTGTTGACAAATGGACCCTGTCCTCCATCCTGTCTCTGTCTCCACAGTGCTGCGCGCCCACATACCTTTCTCCTCAGTCCTGTTCCAGTCTCTATAGTCCTGCCAACCCACAGGCCTGGTTTGGTTTCAGCTCGGCCGCAATCATGCCATGCCCTCTTACTAAGAGTCTTGGTGGATGTTGGCCAAACACTCTTACGTGCTAGAATGCTGTGGTTTCTGCCTCGGTGAGACTCTACATCTTTTCAACCCTCAGAAGCTCTAGGCTGTGACTCTCATGACAGAGGGGACCAAGAATGTCCCTAACACTCCCGATCCACTCTCAGTCCTCAGGAGATGTCGATGGGAGGACCTTGTAAGAGACTGACTAGCGATGAGCGAGCCTTTCCCTGGTTGTGCCAAGGTCTGAAAAGGGGCTCCTGAATCAATATGTCACCTACCGCCAAGACTCACAAGGTTTGTCCTAAAGGATTAGCATCATCATGAGAAGAGCTACCAACCGTCTGTCTCCAGGAAGAGCTGAGTAAATGTGCTAAGGGCTGACCTATGATCATTCTCTGAGGTATTCACCTACTGAAGTCACAACTGGGAAGTGATGATAGACAGCGAATTCTTCAAAGGGATCTATCACCCAGGAGACTAAATGGGAGATTCTCGTCAGACCCTCAGAACCCATTCAAGTCGGACTCCAGGCATGGCAAGAGTAAATGGATATGAGGCACAGCTTCTGAATTCATTCAGGAAGAATGTCAGGGAAGCCCCATGCTGGGAACGGAGGCTCTGTAGGTGCTGGGAAGTCATCCTTAAGACTTGTTAGACCTACTTAAGCACACAGAACGCAGAGTTCACAAAATGCTTTCCAGCCTTGGATGAAAACCATAGCTGCTTAGCCAAGACATAATGAGATTCAGTCATCTTTATTTCTAACCAGTGAGGTCTTGATCAGACACGTTAGTGATATTTTACCTCCGACAAGAAAAGAACAGAGAAGAAAAGTGCTGTTGCTCCAAACTAGCTTTCTTTCTTAGCTCCAAAATGCCAGTTTTAATCGGTTACAGAAGCATCCTTTAGGTGGTGTGGTGCACACTTTTAATCCTAGCACTCTGAAGGCAGAGACAGAGGCAGGGGGATCTCTGTGAGTTTGAGGTCAGTCTGTTCTGCATAGAGTTCCAGGTCAGCCAGGGCCACACAGTGAGAATGTGATGATATTTTGTTTGTGATCTAGCAAATAAAGCTGGCCTGAAGATCAGAGTGTGGAGCTAAGTCACTTGTTAACCACAGAGGCCAGGCAATGGTAGCACACACCTTTAATCCCAGTACTTGAGATTCACATGCCTTTAATTCCAGCACTAAGGAGGTGGAGACAGGAAGGAATATGGCTGGGCAGAGAGGAATATAAGGAGGGGGGGGCAGAATTGCATTCAGTCTGAGGATTTGTAGACAGGATCTTGCCCATTCAGCCTGAGATTTTGTAGAGGTAAGAAGTCTCTGGTGGCTGGCTGCTCTGCTTCCTTGATCTGTCACATCTATCTCCATCCAATATGGAAGGTTGGATAACAGTGCTGAAATCTTATCCCGCTTTCTTAACTTCCCAGAGAGAACAAGAGTAGATGAAAAACTCATCTAATAAAGGGAAATAATTCTAGATAAAATTTAACTCTGTCAATGGCAAACTAGAGAAGGTTAAAAAGTTCCTGAGCACAGTGAATATAGTTTCTCTTTAGTAACCTAGGGAGATCTCCGTTCCAGGACAGCCAAGCCTGAGGATGCTCAAGTCTCTTTCCTATATAACAGGACATAGTATTTGTATAAATCACCCCTATGTTAATGCCTAATGTGATGTAAATTATACATAAATTACTAGTGTACTATCTTGTCTAGGTCAGTGGTTCTCGACCTTCCTAATGCTTTGACCTTTTAAAATAGTTCCTCATGTTGTGATGACCCTTAATCATAAAATTATTTTCACTGCTACTTCATAACTATAATTTTGCTACTGTAATGAATCATAATGTGAATATCTATGTTTTCCAATGGTCTTAGGCAACCCCTGTGAAAGGGTTGTTCAGCCCCAAAGGGTTAATAATCACGGATCTAAGGAATGAAGAAGATAAGTATGTCCAGTCCCAATGAGAGTTCTCTCTCTTTTTATTGTTTTTACATACCAACCACAGTCCCCCCCCTTCCTCCTGCTGCCATCACCTTCTCCCATCCCCCATCCAGTCCTCAGAGAGGGTAAGGCCTCCCATGAGGTGTCAACTAAGCAGAACTAAGTGGAGGCAGAACGAAGTCCTTCCCCACTGCATCAAGGCTGAGCAAGGCATCCCACCATAGGGAATGGGCTCCAAAATGCCAGTTCATACACCAGGGATAAAGCTTAGTACCACTGCCAGAGGCCCCACAAAGAGGCCAAGCCGTACAGCTGTCACTCAACCCACTGAGAATTTTTAAAAAATATTTTCAACCCATAGGTGATTAAATCTTCAGATAATCCATTCATATAGAGGGACCACTTTAGTCCCTGCTGGATGCTTTGACTGTTGCCTGCCAGTAACATCTAAGATCAGGACCTCAGAAGGAAATCTTTCAGCCTGATCTCATAGTAGCCAGCAAAGCACAGAAGACAGAATGTTAGTGAACAGTACACAGAAGCCACGCTGCTTACCATGAGAGATGGAGCAAATGAATGTACTGGTTCTCAAAGAACTCATAGCTGGAAACACTGCCTCCCTCCTCTATGGCTTCACCATTCTTGTACCAAGTCACCTCTGGCTTGGGCTGACCTGAGGGGGGGGGGGAGAATATTTAAGTTGTAAAGCTATAAATGGGAATTAAGAAGAAGGCCTAGGCACAAGCACAGTAGGATATGTTAATGAAATGCAAAATAAAAACACTGTCTCTAATCATAAGAAATTTTTTTTTAATTATCCAAAATAAAACAAGTCTCCAAAACTATAGTCGATGGTCAGGGAGATGACTCTTCAGATAAAGGCTCTGGCCACTAAAGTCTGATGGCCGAGTTTGCTTCCTGGATTTCACGTGATGGAAGGAGAGAGCTGACTCCCATAAGCTGGCCTCTGACCTCTGATCTCCAAATGCATTCTGTGGTGTGCATGTACCTACCCCATTCCACAAAATAGATAGATAGATAGATAGATAGATAGATAGATAGATAGATAGAATTAAAATTTAAATATATGAACAGTAGAGAGAAGGTCAATTTTTCAAAAAATATTCAAGAGACAAAGATATAGATGGTATTTGATTTTTCATGTCACATGGGGCCAAAGTAACTCAGCAACAGGACTGATTAAAATTTCTAGATTCGGTGACCTCATTTGTCATCTTGTAGGTTTTACCCAACAGAGATACAAATAATATCGGTCTAGTAGAAAGATAACACTGTAAGGTTTTGCTGCCCCATAGGGTAGTAAGTAGGGTTGTACCTAACCCATGTATGTGGTCCTGACATTTTTAAATGCCTATAAATATGCAGCTTTTCAGGCTTAATATTCTCTAGTTCTTATAGACACTAATGAGTTAACAAAACCTTTGATCATTACTTTTACACAGAGATCACTTTGCCTTCATTTCTTTTAAAGGTTTATCTTTATTATTAGCTATATGTCTGTATCTGTGCATGAACATGTGCACACAAGTGTCAGTGCCCCAGGAGGGCAGAAGGATTCCACTGGAGCTGGTGTTACAGTTGTGAGCCACCCAGTGTGGATGCTGGAAATCAAGCTTCAGTCCTCTGCAAGAGCAGTGTACATTTTTAGCTTCTAAGCCATCTCTCGAGCTCCTCACATTACCTTTAAGAAAATTAAATTTTTAAGTGTGTGGTGCAATTCTTAATATGGCAATTATTGAGAGTGCTGGCTAGTTTGATGTCAACTTGACACAAGCTAGACTCATTTTGGAAGAGGGAACATCAATTCAGAAAATCTGCCTACACCAGATTAACCTGTGAGCAAACCTGTGGGCATTTTCATAATTGATGATGGATGTGGGAAGCCTCAGCTCACTGTGGGTAGCACCATGCCTGGACTGGTGGTCCTGGGTGCTACAAGAAAGCAGGCTGAGCAAGCCACAGAGAGCAAGCCAGTAAGCAGCTCTGCTCAATGGAACGTCTTAGCTTCAGTTTCCACCTTGAAGTTCCTACCCTGACTCCCCTCAATGAGAGGGAGTGTGACCTTAGAGGTATAAGGTGAAATAAACCCTTTCCTCCCCAGCTGTTTTTGGTCATCGTGTTTATTACAGCAACAGAAACCCTAACCAGGCAAGGGTCCTGCCACTGAGCTATGCCCCAAGCTCATTGGAAATTTTACATGATAGTGCTCAAACCTGAACCTGAAAGAACAAAGCATATATATATTTCTATATGGGCCTACAAGGTGTCTCAGTCTGTAAAGGCACTTGTTACTAAGCCTGATTATCTGAGTTTCAAGCCTGGGACCCACATGATAGAAGGAAAGAACCAACTCCCACGAACTGTCTTCTGACCTTACATGTGAGCTATGACATACGAGTGTAAATATGCCTACACACACATACGTGTGCACGTGCACACAGAAATAAATAAAATGTAATGAAAAAATTCTAGTGTGTCTATGGCCATGCCATTCTGAACATGCTCCACTGCCTTTGATCTCAGAAGCTAAGTAGGGCTGAGCCTGGTTAGATGCTTCAATGGGACAAGAACAAAGTTCCATTTTCTTCCTAAAGAAAGAAGAAGTCTAGAGCATAAATCTTCTAGAATAATGCTACCACAAAAGCTGACCCACTGACTCTTTTCCCTTGGAAGGTTTCATTCTTCCCTGGTAGCCATCAGCTACGCTGTGAATACTAACGGTTAATGGAAAAATTTAACCCACACAGCAGGAATTTTGTCTTTACTGTTACTAGGCAAGGTTTCCAGTGTGTCCCAAAGAGGTTTCTCACTACTCTCTCTGCCACCAAGAATTACCAAATGTGCTGTCTGTGCAGGAAGCAAAGTTCAGCATGCCATTCTAGAGCCATACCAGGACCAGTCTTGGGTTTTGTTTCTATATCATGTAACTTTTGACAAGCAACTCAGAAAGCCCCAAGAAGCCTCTATTCTTCTAAGGCTATATAGAAAAGGTAGGGAGATAAACGAGGTCAGGATGCTAAGAGTCAGAGACACCCGTACCAGCAGGACCTTAGAATACTCAGGGTCCGGCTCCTCATCTGCTTGCCAAGGCCACATATGTGCCTTTAAGCAGCTGTGGGGCTTTCCTACCTTCTTCTCCAGGTAGGTGTGTGTATAGCTGCCCCCAAGGCCAAGAACACAGGCCCACGTGCAAGGACGTACCCTAGCCCGGGAGCAGCTTGCCTCAACTTCCTATGGGCAGATGTTAGAGTAAAGAGGCGCTTCCCTGGAAACCAACAGAAGAGGAAGCTGTCAGGGTTCATTTCTGCCCCTTCTTCCCTGTCTCAAGCCCCCGACTCAGCCAGCTTCCTCCTGCCCCTGCTTAGGAAGCACTGAATTCCTCCTTTTGTACCGTGTGTGGGGCCACACACACACACACACACACACATACACTCATACACACACACACACACACAAACCGAAAAAGAATGTAAAGTATGTGAGAGCTGGCCCCTGGAACATTCTGACCTCCAGGGCCTTTATTCAGAATGATCAGGGCTGGTTGCTCTCCTCCAGTTTCCTGATTGCAGCCAGGGTTTTCCCTGTGCATCTTCTGAGCCTACACCATCAGCCAGAAATGAGATGTGCATAGGGAAGTGGTAGCTTGTACCTTCTGGAAGGTTCTCTTTTCTCCTGGACACCTCACCTAAAACTTCTTCCTCCCTTTGTTTTCCAACGCTAAGGACGGGACCTACGGTCTTACGCATTCTACCACTGTGCAATACTCCTCCACCTTCCTCCCCTTGTTTTGAACCTCTCTATGAGTCACTGCCTGAACCATTCTAAATGATCTAGCCACTATGTGTGAGGACCAGTGACCGAGCTATGGAGGTTCTCTCAGAAGATTCAGGGTCAGCTTGGGTCTCTCCTTCTGTCTGAGCTCTGAGAAAGCCAGCTGTGGAGCTGGAGAGACTGAGTGTGGATGGGTACACCAGCCTCCAGACCAAAGACAAGGTTTCACCTTGACTTCTGCAAATGGCGGTTATTTCTATAGCCACGCTTCTCCTCTGAGTTCTGAAGAGAAGCTAAGCGGGTAAGCCATTTCTCCCTGCCCTAAGGAAACACCATTGGGTGTAGTGCTCCTTGTTTTCAAGGGTAGCGATATAATCTAAGAAAGAAAAGAATCATCTACATAGATTTAAAAACTGACCTCTCTGTCAAATTACTGTTTTTATTCTTTATTTCTGTATGTGTGTATCTCTTCCTTTCTCCTTGTGTGTGTGTGTGTATATGTGTATATATACATATATGTGTCTCTTTCTCTCTGTCTGTCTCTGTGTGTCTCTTTGTGAATGTTTCTTTGTCTCTATTTTTCCATTTCTGTCTCTCTGTCTCTCTCTGTCTCTGTGGGCATGGGTGTGGGTGTGCACGCGCACGTGTGTCCTGAGAGTGCCACAACACATCTGTGGAAGTCTGCATGAGTCAGCTCTCTCCTTGTTGGGACACAGGGAACATCCTCAGGCTGTCAGGCTCACGCTGCGTGTATTTTTATCACCTGCATCACCTCTCTGCCCCCTTACCTTTAATGAAACCCCTTTACCATGGGCCACTAATACCCAGTCTTCAGCTCTCAGTGATCTAGGCTCCTGTCCGGGGGTAGTTCCCATCTTTGGCCTTACCTCCTCTGAGCACCTCTTGCTTTGGTTTAAATTCTTCCTTATTTGCCAGCATGCATCAGTGGGAGGCAAATTTGGGGCAAATTTAGCCAACCTACAAACATTGCTAAACGCTGTGAGAAGAGCTCAGTTTGATGACATGAAATTATTCAAGTTGTTCCTGGATGCCACAGCAAGTGACAAGTAGATTGTTTGAAAATCAGCAGTGAGGGGGCTGCCTAACCAAGAACCACAGCATGAGGTGAGGAAAGTCACTTGAAAAACATCACAGAGGATTGAGTTGCTTAACTGATTACTCAGAATAAATTTCTAAGGTAATTTTCTCAAATGTAGTTTTCATTGCCTTTGACCAATAAACCCTAAACTGCAGAGAGGTATGGGGTGGGGGTGGGGCAGTGAGTAGTTAGTCTAGGTTGACTAGCAGCTAGGCTAGGATGAGCAGTAGTTAGTCTGAGAAGCAGCTAGTCTAGGGGGAGTGGTAGCTAGTCTAGGGGTCATTACCAGCTATCATGCATCGAAGCACGACGTCAGACTTCTCCGGAACCTTCTGGGAAAGTAAGGTTGATAGAAAACACAGTGTGTGCCTCCGGGGGCAGCTTGGGTCTGTCATCCTTTCATGCCACGTGATCTGAAACACAAGCAAGGCTGCCATCACTCTATGTTCTGTGATTACTCTCACCTCCTTTGGCACCCACCCCACCTTTGATGAGCAGAAGTGAGGAGAGGAGACCAAGTCTAGGGGGCTTCACAGTATGGAAGGACCCTTGCCTCATTAGCAGGACCCAGCTCTGGAAGACCAAGGATTTAGGGTGGTGGCGGCCCTCTTGACTTTGGCATCTAGATCTAGATCTGGGTTCCTGTGTGACGCTACCTAGTAGACACTCCAGAACATTCTGCTCATAAGGGCTGGACGTTCCACCACTCACAAATGCCTTCTAAGGCCTCTCCAGCTATTGTTGAGGTTTGCAATGTCTCCTTCCTTTTAAGATGTTCTGTTTGGTTTAGAATAAGGTGAGTCCAAAATTGCCTCTGCATGGAAACCCTTCACTCTGTGCATCCAGGCAAAGGCATGCATCTAAGAGAACTTGCTGTTATCTTCCCTCCCTGTGCTGGAGGTCTGTGCTTTGCCTGAGGTTCCAGATTCACTTAGTGGGTAGAAAATGCTGCAGGGCTGAAGATGGTACATGTTAGCATCCAAAAGCAAGAAAAGCCATGGACACTTGGACTGGAAGAGAAATTTGACATGCCTGGTGCCTGCTAGGACCTGTCAAGAGAAATGAAAAAGAAGGTTTGAAAAAGGATACCTTCTGAGTGTGAGTCCTTTTGGAAGCTGTTAAGAGACACGGGACTACACTTTCAATATTTTGGGTTACAGAACTTCTATAAACATGGATGTGGGGAGCCTGAAGCATCTGGAGTCCCCGAGTAACCCATCATATTCAACTCATATAAGAGTCAGGTGAACCTATCTCAGTGTATATGGCAAATTATTTCCACAGAACAGCAAGAGAATTCTCCTGTCACTCCACTCTAGATTAGCTTACAAGCACATTTGGTGGCTGAGGAGTCTACACCTTTTGCCATAAAGCCCAGATTTAATTCTTATCTATCAGCCTATCCTCACTTCTCACATAGGATTGTTACCAGGACCGTCCTGAGATACAAAGATCCAAGGAGGCTCAAGTCTTTTATATAAATGATAAAGTGTTTGCACATAACCTATTCATATTCTCTTGTTCTTTGAACCATCTCTGGATGATTTACAGTGCCCAGGATGCCACAGATGCTATGTAAAAAGTAGTTAGAAAGCCTCATTTAGGGAGTAGCGGGGATGGGGAGAGTCTACTTTTCAGCACATATACAATTTTATTCCAAAATAATTTTGATCTAAATGTGGTTAAACCCACAGATGTGAGCCTGTGCATATTTCTTAGTGGTCATAGTAATGTGTCACAGAAAAGGCTTCCCAACCAGAAAGAAGTTCCTTTAAAAGTTTCAAAACTTTTCAAAATTTGAAAATTCTTATAACTCATTTTTTTATGAGAAAGAAAATGCCTTTTTAAAAAACCTTGAAGGCAAAAGTGTCACTCAATGGTTGAATACTTGCCTGTCACATGGGAGACCCTGGTCCTTATCCCTAACACAGAAAGATAGAAACAAGAAAAAGAGGAGAGAAGGAGGGAAGGAAGAGAGAGAGAGAGACAGACAGACAGAGACAGACATAGGGACAGAGAGGCAAGGGGCATTGTTGACTTGCAGTGATGATAGTTCAGAATAAGTACAGAACAAGAAAAGTCAGTGGGGATGTGTCATCCACAATCTGCTGGGAGGGCCCACCTTTACAGAACAGGCAGAAGAAACAGCTCTTCAACTACAGTTTAGTTGTTCCTCACTAGAGGTTCAAGTTGGTCGTAGAAGCCGGAACTATAAAACTGGGTTGAGATTTATTTGTTTGTTTGTTTTGAGACAGTGTTTCTCTGTGTAACAGCTCTGTTTGTCCTAGAACACTCTCTGTAGACCAGGCTGGTCTTGAACTCCCAAAGATCCATTTGTCTCTGTCTCCTGAGTGCTGGGATTAAAGGCATGTGCCACCACATCTGGTGAGATTTTTTTTTCTTTATTTAAAGGTGTTTTTAAGATGTTAGAGTTGCTATTGCTCAGTAATACTGAGAAGATAATGTTAGAATCAGAGGTACACACATGACGGTAAGGGCAAATCTAAGGCACTTTTGTTTTTTTCACCTTGAATTGTACCTTGAAGTGCTGGAGATCAAACCCAGGGCCTGCACATGCTAGGATGTCCCCTGTTACTAGGCTACCTCCACAGAGCCCCATTTTTTAATGGTATTTTGCAACAGTCTAGCGAATTCCACACAGGGAAGGAACAAGGTTTGGCAAACCTACAGACCTGTGACTCCAAGTTGGAAAGGACACCTGCTGTGACTTATTGACCCAGGGTGATGTTTAGACACATCTGTACTGAGATAATTAATATACCACACACTTCACCCACTGAAAAGTTATGACTCCATGACTTTCGTTATAACTGGCTTGTGCAACCATCATCACCACAATCAATTTTAGAATACGCCATTACCCCCAAAAGAAACCTCACATCTCCCCGTCTCACCACCTTTACGCCCAGTCCTAGTCCACACGGCCTTCAGCAACCCCTAAGCTGTGTTCTATTTCTCTTAGGTTCTATGTGGGCTGGCCTCTTCTGAACACTTCGTATAATCAGAATCTTCCACTTAGCATAATATTGTCGAGTCTGTCTGCATTGTAATGCATGCTGATGAACGTCATTACCTTTTGAGGCCAGTATGCAATACTTCTTGGGAACTACTGTGGGCAATAAGATGACTACCTTGACTCTCCACATTCCTACAAGACTTACTCAGTGATTCTGGGGGATCTCACAGCTGGAAAATACTCTCCTAAGCAGAAGAAATTCTAGGCTTCTGGACCAAACCTAGCCTACCAGGAACAATGTAGATGCTGCTCTATGGCTTACCTGGGCCAAGTATCAAACCTATTTCCTCGTCTGTCAGCCGGGAATGGTAACAGAAGAAGGCTCAGAGCCCACATCGGCTGCCTCCTAAGACTATTACGTGGGCAGCTGATATAATAGTAATCTGGCGGCTCTCGAGCGAGCGAGAATGCTTTTTCACGAGTTTCCTTTTGTGCTGTGGGTTACCACAGTGCTGCTGTTTTGTAAAGTGATATGCCAGTTAACAGATACACATGTCTCCTGGAGCAGCCTCACTGGGAAAGTAATTTGCAGAGCAAGTTTCCCCCACTCTTATTCCTAGGACCACTGCTGTGGGTCAAATGGAAAGAAAGGGCTCACAAAGCTGAAATGGTGGTGAGGAACTCCCCCCACCCCCGTGTGTGAGCGGCAACTCCTCCACAGGTGACCACTTCCTGCCAGTTCTGCCTCACACGTGAAAGCACTGTCAGTATGTTTGACTCACAAGGCTGGGTTAGCTGCCACAAGTCTCAGACACTGGGCACTGACTGTTCCCTGAAGGAAAGGGACAGTTAAGTCGGGCTGTGGTTCATGTTTCGTGGCTTCTCTGAAGGGGAGAATGACACATTTATTGTTCTATGCTAGAGATGACAAATGGTATTGAAGGCGCTAGAGGTGACAAATTAATGCTGAATTAATGGCATTAGTGGAGGAAGTCACAGGTGGGCTTCAAAATCAATCTTAAAAAAAAAAAAAAGTATATTAGCCCAAAAGAACATCAGATTTTCAATTTCTCCCTGCTTTCCTTTTTTTCCCTGTATGATTCAGGGCAATTTTCTTACTTTTTAAAAACTGATACAGGCTTTTAATTATATAGATTCTAAATATATATGTTTATGCTCTTAAAAGTACATATAATGTACATGTTTAGAGACGAGCACCTGAGAGGTTTTACACACATACACACAAATAATTAAACAAGAGATTGTGACTTGCGGTGGGGAGGGAGTGGTGAGGCATGGAAGGAGTTGGAGGGGAAGAGGGAAGGGTAGAGATGGTGGAAATATAGTACTATTCACATTTTATAAAGGTCTTCTGAATAGCAAAACAACCACTGTATAAGCATTGTCTAATATTTGTGGCTTTGGACTTGATGTCTGAAGAATTATAAAAATAATGTCTTTTACTCAAATTGGTAGAAAGAAAGTATGAGTCTATAGGCAGGTTCTTGAAGGCATCTCAAACACTTGCAAAAGTCCAGATTTTGTTGTTATTGTTGTGTTGTCTTTTGGGGTTTTGTTGTTGTTGTTGTTGTGGTTTGGTTTGGTTTGGTTTGGCTTGGTGGTGTTTTTTGTTGTTGTTTTGGGGGGATGTTGTTGTTTGTCCTTTGGTTTAGGGGTTGTTGTTGTTGTTGTTGTTGTTATTATTGCTGGTTTTTTGGTCCATCACAGACAGCTGTGAAAGCGACAGGACCACAGTGTGATACGGGCCCAGGTGAGCGGGCACTCAAATGTCATGCTCTCTTTTGGGTAGGGTGCTAAGTTGTATACAGAAAATAAAGACAAGAAAACAAACCTGTGAAAAGATGCTCAGCATCCTTAGTCATTAGGGAGACCCAAATCAGAGTCCCAGTGAGATGCCACCACACCCCTGCCAGAAGGGCTGCATATCAGTAAGGACGTGCAAAGAACAGAAGCAGCCCCTGAGTCTCCCCGGCGGAGTGTAAAAACAGTAAAGACATTGTGAAAAACAATTTAAGCTTCTTTAAAAAAATTAAACATGAATCTACCTAATGAGCTAGCAGTTCTACACCTAGAAATCCTTGCCAAGAGAAGTGAAGACATCCTTCTACACAGAAGCTCCACACAAACATCATCTGCAGAATTAGTCAGAGTACCAAAAATTAGAAGCAACCAGAATATCCAACTGGTGAATAGTCATACAACTGAGTAATGAGAGGAACAAAGAATGTTCATGGTGTGACATGGATGAACCTCAAAACGCTCTCAAATCATACTCAGCAAAAGAAGTCAGACCCAAAGACGTACAGTATTTTATTCTATATAGGAAACATTCAAAGGACACAGTAGGGACACAAGGTCAGTTAGTGGCTGCTGGTGGGAAGAAGACTAATTGACAACAAATATATATTCGTTAAT